CTGTTCCAAGATGGCGGCGGGTTGCTGCGGGGTGAAGAAGCAGAAACTGTCCAGTTCGCCCCCCTCCGGCTCGGGTGGCGGTGGTGGCGCCTCCTCCTCCTCCCACTGTAGCGGAGAGAGCCAGTGCCGAGCAGGGGAGCTGGGACTAGGAGGCGCCGGTCCGCGGCTCAACGGTCTGGGAGGACTGACCGGAGGAGGTAGCGGCAGCGGCTGTACCGTCTCTCCCCCCCAGGGCTGCGGCGGCGGCGGGGGGATTTCCCTGTCGCCACCTCCGGGCTGCGGAGTGGGGACCCTACTTTCTACCCCGGCCGCCGCCACCTCTTGCTCGCCCTCCTCTTCGTCCGCCGCCTCGTCCTCATCTCCCGGTTCCCGGAAGATGGTGGTGTCAGCGGAGATGTGCTGCTTTTGCTTCGATGTGCTCTACTGTCACCTGTACGGATACCAGCAGCCCCGGACCCCCCGGTTCACCAACGAGCCCTAGTGAGTACCGTGCCCTCCGCCGCCCTCTCCCTTGCGCTCGGGATGGGGCTGAGAGTTGAGGCAAAGTACGAGTCTCCTCCCCGCCCGCAGCTGCCCCTGCCGCTGCCCGGCTCCCCGGAGCCACTCGCCCGAAGGGCACCCGGTGCTTTCTGCCCTCCGAGGGAAGCACCCTGTACTTGGAGCGGGGTGCTGCTGCAAGGGATGGCCCACTGGCTGCCAGAGAGCTTTGCTTTCTCTTTGCCATAACTTTGAGGAGTTTTGACCCTTTCCTTCTCTCCTTCGCCACCGTCCCGCCCTAGTCTTGGCGATCTGGATGACTCAAGGGGCTGACCTCTTCTCACTTGGGTTTCCATGACCCCCTGTGAAAGCCCCACCAGGATTCCTGCCCCGCGTACCTTGCACATGGAGAGTACTATCCCATTGCAGGAGGAGGGGGAATAGCAACTATCCAACTTCTGTTCTGCTAGTGATGGAACTTAGCTCCGGAGCTTAGAAGAAGGTTGCCCATCTTTGCCGATGGAGAGGGGAGGTTTTTTAAAACACATTTTCCCCCTTACTACCTATTTTTATCTGAGCCTACCCATTAAAATGTTTCTAGTGAAGTGCACCGCCGGCTCTCTCACGTTTGAAGAGTGAGACCTCTTTTTTTTTTCATTCCACTGTCTGGGTAACAGCTCATTCAAAGTGAGAGCTGTCCCCATAGAGGCACTGTCAGTTTGTACATTAAGCGTGCATTCGCTTTTGTGCCAACTTCACTTTGAAGAAATCTGTTATGCTTGACGACTTGAGAACTATCTTAACATTCCCAACAGTGAATGCGTAGGAATTTTTATGGTTTCCTACTTTTAATTATTTTACCCTTCAACTCTGTGGTTGAAAGTGTTGAGCATAAGACTGTTACAGTGAAAAGCCAGGTTAATTCTAATCCCTGTCTATTTGGATGTGTAGGAGGTGGGGCATTTTTTTTTTTTTTTTAATGTGTAAACTGACTTTTTGACTTAAACGCTAGACAGAATGTAAAGAGCAAGGAAGGACAAGATGAGAAAGAGGGAGATTGTTTTTATTATGAGAAAAATAATAGAGAGAAATTGCAGAGAATCTCATATTGCAAAGCATTAACCCTTTTCTGAACTACGACAAGGGCCCCTTGTCCCCCATATCATAAATACCTGAACTGATGTTCTCTTTAAACTGCTTTTCATTTTTGTGAGATTAGGGGATTGGACTACTACTGTATAAGTAGAAATGCTTCTGTCTAGTCTAAAAATATTACATTAATATGTAAAGTGGAAATTGCAATAAAGTGTCCTGGAAATTGTAAATTTGTATTGTTTGTTTTCTTTGGCTTTGATACTTTAAAATGTATTTAATTTTGTATGACTCCTCTGTGGTCTGTGATTTTCCTTCCAACTTGGTTTATCTTTGGGCATTGGTTCATGAGGAATATATGAAAGGGGATACAGGTTTTGTCAAATACATATCCTTAGAAATTTCATAGTGCTCACTCTAGGAACTGAAATATTAAGTCCACACTTTTACTTAGCCAGTGTATTTTGTGGTTCTCAAGAAGTAAAATTCATTATGAAAAGACTGCCAGGCAAAAATCTATGAAATACCTGTTAACTTGACTCAATTATTTTTGTCTTTTCTGCCTTCTCTTAGATGCCTAAGATGCATTAAAACCAGTTATGGGCTGATACTTAGGTTGGCTCTACGTAGTCATGAGACTGTAAACATCCCCTCCTGCTTAGTTTTTGAGCTATTACCTGAGTTTGGCCAAGGCTGTTTTAGTATTCACGCTCCATTGCTCCAAAGCATATGAGAACACACTTTCAGGAGGTGCCATTTTCACACATCTTAAAGTGAGTTTGGGTTAAATGAATGAATATAACAAGAATTTTTTAAAGGAAACGTGAGCTTGACCAGTTAGTACAGAAAATGCTTTTGAAAATGTCATTTAGCAGTGGCTGTTTGGCACAAGTATTTAGGTATTATTTCTCTTCTAATACTCTGGCCACTGGATTTCTTTTTAATGTATTTATAACTGGAATCGAACAGATAAATAAAACACACTGTTGACCACCGTAGCTATGTTGAAGTGGTGGTGGAAGAATAATAATTATGATAGATTAGCAGGCCTTGAATGTGTCATGTAATCTATAAAACAAGCTAGTTTAGAGTAGACACTGAACATGACCAAGCGGGTGGGGGATGAAAGTTCACTTAAGTGGAAAGAGAACTGCAGTAGAAGTTTTATTTTTCATTTATGTAAAAGTCATTTTTCAGGTGTACTGTGAAAAATTCAGGAAATTTTCCTAAAAGGAGTGTATGATTATGGTAGTGAAACAACTAATCCACCACACATTTTTCATTCGGTTTGAATCTTTAATAGTACTGTGCATTTATTAGAGTAGCTTTATGCAGTGTGCAACAAAACACAAATAGACGTATTTTATCCTGTAAGGAGTAACAATGTTTCAAGTCGTGCCTTGCTCCGGAAGGTGTGCTTTCAACAATTCTCCCATGTAATATCACACCATTTTCATCAGTTTCTAAAACCTTTCTGTCAGAATGTCTGCAACTGGTGAAATGTGCCTTGTTTAGGTTTAGAAGCTCTAGATTCATCAGTTACCCTTCCACTCTGAAAGGTTATTAGCAGTATCAAGGGATCTATTTATTTCAGGTTTTGGAGGGAAGGTCAATACATGAGCAGGCTACAGGGATAAAAATTCTTCCCTGTTGCTGCTGTCTTTGGGAGTACTTGCCCTACTGCAAGCAGGTAGCAATAGCTAGAGCTTTGAAGGACGTTGGAAACTTGTCTAACAGAAGACAGGTAACCTTTGTGTTAAAAGCTGGGAATGCATTACTGAGGCCTAGGTTTCAGTTGTATAGGATTTTTTTTTTGCTCACAGATATAAGGTTCGAGACATGCTTAAAAAACAAAAACATAACTTTAGGTGCATTTTAATATGCAAAGCTAGCTCTTGCATTATATGCCAGGGAGCCAAGAGAGCCATTTTATAGGAAACTGCTACTTACTAAGGGACCACCTATGGCAGGTGATGAGCCGGTTCGACTGTAGAGCCGTGGTTCTCAACCTTGACTGCACACTGGAATCCCTGGAGAGTTTTTTAAAATACAGATGCCTGGGTCCCACTGCTAGAGATTCTGATTTAATTGGTCTTGGGTGGGACCTGGGCATCAGGATGATTCAAAGCTCCCCAGATGATTTTAAGGCACAGCTGAGCCTGAGAAGTACAGTTTCTATTCTACGAGGCCTTTCTCCTGAGATTCTGATGAATTTGGTGTGTGGTGGGAGTTTGGAATCTGTATTTTTTATGAGCACCCTAGGTAATTTTGGTAAACAACCAGTTTGGGAAACGCTTGCAGTGTAGTCTGCAGAAAACATCACCTAGGAACTTGTCAGAAACATAGGCTTTCCGAGGCCCCACCTCAGAGCTGCTGAATTAGAACCTGCATTTTAACAAGCTCCCTCAGGTGATTCTGACACACATTAAAGTTTGAGGTGCACTGGTTCTCAAACTTCAGTGCATCATAATCTCCTGTACTGCTTGTTAAAGCACAAATTGCTGGGCCCCATTCCCAGAGTTTCTGATTCAGTCAGTCTGGGGTGGGGCTGTGAAGTTACGTTTCTAACAAGTTCCCTGGTGATGCTGATGTTACAGTTCCTAGGACCACACATTCACAAGTACTGGCCTGGAGAATAGTGAGGACTTGAATAAGGACTTTAGCCACTGACTGTAAAGAAATGGCAGTTTTCCCTGTCAGTTTCCAGCAGAAAACTTGCTGCTTCTATGTCACTATCATTTATCATGTTCTCTCTAACTTTGCACCAGGGAGATTGAGTGCTGCCAACAGCATGAAAGGCTGAGGTTCTTGGGATGGTTTCAGTCCGAGTATAGGGATGGGAGTGACTTTTGGCAACCTTGCTGTGTGGTTTTAGGTCCTTTTTCAGAAATTGTTAAATGTGAGGGACACATTTTAGAGGTGAAAAACAGGACAAAGATGATACATTGAAATGAATTATATTGATTTAAATAAGTAAAGCCCCCTTCTGTTACCATAAAAAATGCTTTTATGATTAGTTCGCTAAATAACATGTGCTAAAATCTGAAAAGCTTTTACTTAGGCTTGCTGGATTGCATTTTAAGAATTTTCCCTCATTAACAAATAAATATAAAAGGATCCTACTAAGGCACGGGGACTGTTCAGTCTCATACCTCCAATACTGTGTTGGGTGCCACATCTCATGAACTTTTTATTTTAGTCATCTTACCCCTTTTGAAGTTAACGGAATACTACATTTTGTACTGAGCATAGCACATAGAAGATATTTTAATATGAAACATCAATAAGTGTGTTTTTTTTTCACGTTGAGATGAATAAAAAAAATATTTTTTAAAAATCCTCTCCTGAACTTGCAGATTTTGAGAGACTCAGATCAACTGTTTGAAGAGTTAACTCTTCTTGTCTTGCCATAGTAGTCGAATTACTATTTGTCAATGTGCCTGGGAGGACTTGGATTGTGCTAGGGCAGGGAGATGGGCACTTCATTTCATCAGAACAGTAACGATCCTATTGCATGTTAGTAAAAAAGATGATTTGATAATGCAGCTCAGGTCAAAGCGATATTAAATCAGCATTTGAAACACAAGCTATTGTAGTTCTATTATGTCTTTGTTGATGAAGACCGATTAGAATCGCTGGAAGGTCTATCTGTCTATTGCAGATGGTGCTACTAGGCCATTACAGATTTCCCTATTTACCTGAAAAGAACAGTACTGCTTTCCAGTCTCTGGTCATAATGTATCGTTTTTCTTAAAAGCAAAGCAAAACAAACAAACAAAACAACAACACTGGAAGACGTGATGCCCTTTTAAAGGTATTATTTATGGGTGGGTTTTCAACAATGTTGATTTCCACTGGAAGGCAATCTAGTGTCCTATCTTCATGATGGAAAAAGAAGGCAGGCACGTCCT